GCAATGAAGATTAACTTTGAAGATATATATTTTATTAGTTTAAGCATAAATCTCTTTGAGTATATATTTTAATTTTCAATAGAAAAATAATTATTCGTAAAGTTTTTCTAAATATTTCTTCAAACATTGATGCAAACATGACAGAATTACAAGAATCAATAATCAAAATATAAATACAGGTAATTGACTGACGTATACTATTCGTGCTCAAAAAAATAGTTTACATTGAATTTTTTTGTTGAGATAACAATTTTTTTGAATTTTAAAAATAAATTATATTTAATATATTTTACTATAATTACAGTACTTAATATATTTGGATAAACAGTAAAAAAATAAAATAAAATAAAAATTTTAAACACGAATGAAGTAACTAAAAGTTTTTCTTGACATCTTCACACTGTAGTAAATTGTCTAACAAAAGATGGATCCAATTCCCAAGCATCTTCCATTATGGAGGAAGAAGTATGTCCCAGGAGGTTTTGACTTTAAAACACGGGGGAATGTCAGCCGTGGGCCACAAAGTATATTCTATGTTAGTGTTTTGATTTTAAAAGATTAAAAAAAAAAAAAAAAGGTGAAAAGAAAAGCCGCACATGACATAAAGGAAACTAAGAACATTCATTTTCATTTTTTAATCTTTCTTTCTTGTTTCAACTTTGATTCCAACTAGCCCCACTTACCACTATCTTTTAATGGTAGTCAAACCCCTCTCCACTTCCATTTTCTTTCATTTTATGTAATCCTTTCTTTTTCTCTTTCCTTTCCCAGTGAATATTTGTTTCACTTTTTTTGTATCCATAACAATTAACATATGCTCTATAAGTTTTTTTTTAAAAAAAAAACAAAAAGATAATAACAATAATGTTTCTAAATTTCTTGTTTAAAAATTAATACCGTAACGGTCCAGAATTTAAAAGAAAATAAATTATGAATTGAACGCAGAAGCGAAATACCATCCAGAACTATCTATAGTCCATAATGTGTTTCTTGTGTCTATGCTATGCAAGTACAACTCGGACTCCTCTCACGTCTTGGCCCACGAGCCCCTTTTATTTCAAGAGGATCTGTCATACGAGAAAATACCAGTGGGTATTGTGGACTGAAAGAGCAAAGTACTTCGCAACTAAAAAATTTTCTTCGTTAAGGTCCTATGACAGAATCACACACTGGGAGATGCTATATGAGAGCTAGAAGCAGACTTCAAAGCTCAGTATCCCCAATTATTTAATTGAGTGAGTGAGAGATAAATTTGAGTGACCAAATTTCTCTTAAGGGTGAGAGTTGTAATACCCGAAATTAATTTTAAATATTTAAAATTAATGTATAAAATATAATTTTTAATTTATGAATTTTTATTTAATGTAAAAATTAAGAAAAATTAGGTGGATGATGAAATTAAAAATAATTTTAAAAAAAATGGGTGAAAATTTGGGTTATGGGGATATTTTTGAAAGAAAAATCAGAAATTTGGAATCAAAACGCAATTTAGGAAAAATGTGTCACATAGGACTGCCCCATCAGCAACCCCGATGAACCGGAGTGCGTCGCATGGCAAGGCACGCTGACGCGGTGCCACGCAGGAGACCACGCTGGCGATTCACGTGCCCACAATAGAACGATCCGGATTTGTTCCAGCACGCGTGAACGGTCCGGATGCGTTCCCTCCTTAGGTACGATTGAACGATCGCGATCAAACGCAATGAACGGTTCAGATTCATTTTCTCTTTAAACGCGATCAGACGGTTGAGATCAAACGCGATGGACGACTCAAATTAAAGAAAGATGGATATAAATACTTCACTTTACACAAACCCTAACCCTTGCCGGAGAAGAAGAACCAGTCACTGGGAATAGAGCCGACCGCCGACCGCCATCGCGCCGGAGCTACCTCTGATCGCCAAAAAAGGTAAAAAAAATTCTCCCAGTTGCTCGAACTTTAATTTTGAACACGCCCATTGCTAAATCGAACCCAAAGGACCAGTGGATGGACCGAAAACAGCGGGTAAAACCAGGCAGCACCGCCGCGAAAACAACCAAAAATTGCCTCCGATGAGCCCCTTCCAGATTCCTGTTTCGTGAAATTTTTTCACTATTATATTCACCGTTTTATTTTCTACAGGTTAACTGAAGAAAAATATCTAACCGCGAAGGTGAGCCAGCGGAGCCGCCGCACCGAAAAATTTTGCCGCTGGTGAGTTTTTGTTTTTAGACTTTTTTTGGCCAATCGAGACCCTTCAACGTGTTTTCTCGCAATGATGAATATAAAACCGACTAAAATCAACTAAAACTAGCCAAAAATGGCCAGTTTGAGGCAAACCACCGCTACGGACGGTGGTGCCGTTGCTGGAGCACAGTGATGCCGCCATGCCAAAATTTTAAAATTGGCCGAAAATGCTTCCTAACACCGATTTTAGATTTTTTAGGATATTTTTAGGTACTCAAAATGTGTTTTAATCTCTGAAGAAAAATTCAGGGAACCCAGAGACCGTAGGCGCAACTGAAAGCTATGTGTTTTGGACATCAATTCGAGTAAGAATCTTTCACCTTATTCCCTGTTATGGAATTGAAGTCTAATTATCAATAATACAGTATTTTGTGAAACTTAAAAAATTTTGATAATTAATTATAGGTTACTAATTGAGCCGGAACTAGTTATTTATTACTGTTTGTCATGTTTTAATTGATTGATTAATTTTACAGTTTTGAATGCATGATAATACACTAGAATTGATATGATAATTCGATTGTGTTTTCTTGATGCAAGTATTGCTTATTTTGTGTGATTTACACTTAAATTAGGAAATTAAAAAATTAAATGTAAACGAAAAATTGTTTGATTAACTAAATGGATGAATAGTAGCCTTACTGAATATCCTAGGAGATGGTGGACGGACTGAGTGCATAGAAAATCCTACCGTAAACATTGCCTCATACCGGACGGAGTATCGATGATTGGTCTTTTTGGTGCTCATACCGAACGGGGTATTGAGGATTAGTATTTTTGGCGCTCATACCGAACGAGGTATGAGGGACAGCCTGTTTCACCCTCATACCATATGGAGTATTGAGGGATACTTTTGGCACTCATACCGAACAGGGTATGGGGACGGCCAGGTAGTTGACAATATTGAATAATGATTCACGCATAATAGGGACATCCTTATAGACCCCCATAGATACTAGTAGATAGATAAAATAGAAAGTTATTGTTTTGAAAAATTGAATATGAGATTATGATATTAGTTATGTTATTGCTTTTATGAGTCAGTTTTGAAAATCTCGTTACGGTAAGTATGCAGTAAATGATTTTAGTTATGATAAATGAATTTACTTAAATTAAGAGCTCTATTAGTTGTTTTTATAATTTGTACCAATCTTTATTTCTGTATCGGTGAATAGTGTGACATTCTTACTGGGGTATGCAACTCACTCTTTCATTAACTATTTCAAATCAAAATGACCAAGATCCAGATCCCGATCCACAAGAGAATTGTGAATAGGACGCCCACTTGTTTACTTTCTATTTACTTCTTTGATTTTTCGTTTGTTTTTTTAAATGGGTCATTCTCGTAACCCTATTGGGTACTTTGGATTATTGTATAAGGATTAGTATTTTTAGTGCTCATACCGGACGGGGTATGGGGGACGACCTATTTTACCCTCATACTAGATGGGGTATTAAGGGATAGTATTTTTGGCGCTCATACCGAACAGAGTATCGAGTATTAGTATTTTTGGTGCTCATACCGGACGGGGTATGGGGGATGACCCGTTTCACCCTCATACCGGATAGGGTGTTGAGGGATGATACTTTTGGTGCTCATACCGAACGGGATATGAGGACGGCCGGGTAGTTGACAATGTTGAATAATAGTTCACACATAGTAGGGACATCCCTATGGACCCCCTATGGATACTAGTAAGCATATAAAAGAGAAAGTTGTTGTTCTGAAAAATTGAATATGAGATTATGATGTGTTATGCTATTACCTTTATGAGTCAGTTTTAGAAATCTCGCTACGGTAAGTATGCAGTAAATGATTTTAGTTATGATAAATAAATTTACTTAAATTAAGAGTTCTATTAGTTATTTTTATAATTTCTACCAATCTTTATTTCTGTATGGATGAATAGTGTGACATTTTTACTAGTCTGGTGTATCTCACTCTTTCATTAATTATTTCAAATCAATATAATTAAGATCCAGATCCCAATCTACAAAAGGGTTGCGAATAGGATGTCTAGTTGTTTACTTTCTATTTATTTCTTTGATTTTTCGTTTATTTTTTTTAAATTGGTTATTCTCGTAACTCTATTGGGTATTTTAGATTATTGTGTAAGAAATATAAACTCTAATTTATTATTTCACTTCCGCATTCAATTTATAATTTATTTCATTATAAATTCCGGGTCGTTACAGATGCATAATGCAATAATAGAAATAAAAAAAATTATTTAATTAAATTAATGCAGAAAAGTATAAAACTAGAAAATAGATTTACACAATTTTATCATGTGACCTACTCTTTAGAAAAGAATATTAATTTAGAAGAAACTAAAGATTGACGCAAGTTAGAATTCGAATCTTAATCGTCCAAAATCTAACACTGTTCTTGAGAGAAAAATGGACATATATATTATATATATATGCATCTATGTGTTATATTATGTGAGTGTTATAGTAATTCAATGGTGAATGTTGGGAAATGAGAAGAGTACATGTTTAGATATATATATATGTGTATGTATGTATGTGTGGAAGAAAAAGAAGATGACATGGATCTAGTTGAAAGTATAATGAATTGGGAGAAAAATATTCCGGTTGATATGGACCCCCAGGCATCTGGATTACAACGAATATACAATGTGAGACTCACTTACTAAACTCCAAAATTCATGTTTTATATTCATAAAATCTTTCAAAAAGAATAAACTCAACTTGTAGCCTTTTCTTACATCTTACCAAATATAAAATGTTGTTGCAAATGATCTTCACATTCATTTCATGATCATCTTCTTCTCCTGTATATACATATATCTCTATATATCTTCTTCTCTTCAATTTACTTATCTATTGAAATCAACTATCATGGATTACCAGGCCTCTGAAACCCTAAGGTATATACGTATATGCATACACGTACTACTCTTACTAGCTAATTTATACACCACATCTGGAAGTAATCCTTTATTAACTAACTAATATATATATATATATGTATATGTATATGCATCATGTAGGAACAAATGTGCAGCCTGTTTCAGGCAATTCAACAAGATGGAGCACCTGGTGGAGCACATGAGGATTTCTTATCACTCGGTGCATGAGCCCATGTGTGGGATCTGTAAGAAACATTGCAGATCTTTTGAGTCTCTAAGGGAACATCTTATAGGTATGTAAAGCATTTATATCTATATATATCTGTATACACATTTTCTAAAATTCATGGTGATATGATATAATTTGTTTTCATTTAAATGTATATATATATTAGGGCCCTTGCCTAAGCAAGAATGCAAGAACATATTCAGCGTCCGAGGATGCAAAATCTGTTTAGCGATCTTTGACACTCCTAATGCTCGTTGGGTTCATCAAGAAAGATGCCAGCTTTCTAATGCAAACACTGTAATTATTATATTTATATATACATATTAATATTCATATATATTCTGCATATTTTGTTGTAATATTTTTTATTGAATTTCTACTTTGAACATACATATATATATATATATAGGGGTTAGTGGGTCGATTTGCAAACTTAGGGCTGCGTGACAACTTGACTATTGATTGTGCGAGCCGAGGTCCTCAAGTAGTTGCATTGGCTTGCAAGATGGTTGGGGGAGGGAGTGATGGGTCCCTAGACCTCTGTGCCAGGGTCTGCATCACCGACGAATATAATAATATCATCTTTCATTCTTATGTCAAGCCACCGATTCCAGTCACAAATTACAGGTATACACACACGTACACACACACACACTATATATCATAATGTATTTGGAGACATCCCTTAATATCATCTTTGTGATGCTACCAAGTGAAATTAATTAATCGGAAGAGTTATCCAACATATATAAATAGTGTAAATTTTTATATTTAATTAGCATGAAATTGTATATTTATGCATTTTTATATTAATCTTATGGTAATGACACCTAATGATATAATAATTATTAATTAAATTTTAATTATATATGATTAAATTTAAGGTATGAGATAACGGGAATTCGAGCTGAATACCTGAGAGATGCAATGTCACTAAGGCAAGTGAAGAAGAAGATTCAAGATTTTCTGTGCAACGGAGAGCCAATGTGGAAAATTAGACCCAAAGCAGGAAGAGCAAGGATTTTAGTGGGTCATGGTTTGGATCATGATCTTGATCGTCTACAAATTGAGTATCCTTCTCTCATGATCAGGTATATGTATATATATGTTTACACACACAGAAAAGAGAATTAATTATATTATATTTTCTCTATTTGTCTCGACAAAGTCTTTGAGATCTATTAAGCAACACTTTATGTATATACATATAAATATGGATGGAAATTTATTTGTGAATTAATATAGGGATACTGCAAAATACCCGCCATTGATGAAGACAAGCAAGCTCAGCAACTCACTCAAGTACTTAACTCAAGCATACCTGGGGTGAGAATTTATAAGATGTTTAATTAATTAAATTAATATTTATTTATTTATTCATGAAGTAAAGAATCTGTAATATATGTACGTGTGTATATATATAGGTATGAGATACAAAATGGGATACAAGAGCCATATGAAGAATGTGTTGCAACAATGAGGCTTTATATGAGAATGAGAAATCAATCTCACAAGAAAGAAGATTACCCTCTTGCTTCTGATCCTCAAAACCGCAATAACTTTGCTTCGTGGAGGCAGAATGAGTTGGAGAGGATGATACCAGAAGAGATGCTGGCTATTTCAAGGTCCGATTACTACTGTTGGTGCCTCGATTGATCCCACACACACACACACACACATATATATATATATACATATCTAGAAAATCAGAAGTCAGTAGTATTTAATTATAATATATCTAAGTTGAGCGTCAGTTGTTCGTCCACATAATATATATATATATATATATATTAATAAATCATGTACAATGGAAAGTTCCTAAGTTGTACTGATTGTATGATTTTTATGATTAAGTTGACTGTATAAGCTAAATAATTAATCCAATATTCAATAAATCATGGTGTCTCCCTGAAGCTAGCATTTTGTATATACAGATTAATTAATACATTATAGAGATCAGCACCCAGCACTAATTTTATATACATGTAGCTACCCTTCATACATACATATATATACATAATATTTATGTGTATTTTATATAGAGATATATCGTTGCAGGAATAACTACAATTATATTAATATTTTCTAACATATACTGATGTTTGGAAAAATTAAAATTATTTATCAGCTGAGCAGTTACCAATTTACTGGCTTACTTAATTTAATTTCTAGCATTCCCTTATACTTTATTAAAGGATCCAAGTCCCTTATTGGCTTGGTGAATGATTGGCAGAATGTACTGAAACTCATTATTTACTCAATGTCCTATTCTTTTGTATATAAGTTTTACTGTTGGTTTTTTCCCCTATCATACAAAAATTTGTTGGAATAATTTGAGAAACACTGTTTTAAAAATGAGAATTTCTCATATCAATTATATAAAATTGCAGAAAATTTGTTGCAAACTACTGCATTTTATTCCAGAACTGAACTTGTCTTTATATAAAGCTTACAATCAAACTGAAAAAATTAAAAATTCTCAACTAATCATTAAAAATTCTACCACTGATAACAAATTAACAGAAACAAAAAATTAAGGAGAACTATTATGCATGAAGCGAGAAAATATCTATAGTAGATTAAGGAGCAAAACATTTGCAAATATTTTTGACCAATTCTTGAATCAATCTTCAATGCTCCTCCTTGATTCAAAATTGCACACACCAAATAGATTTCTGAAATAAATGAACTTCTCTTTAGACAATGTCTTAGTAGGTATATCAACCAGTAGTTGGTTTGTGCTGCAATACTTCAAAATAATCTCCTCCTTAGCAACCAAATAACGAATAAGATGGAATTAGATATCAATATGTTTTGTTGTATTGTGAAATTTAGGTTCTTCACGAATAAGATGGAACCGAATATCAATATGTTTTGTTCTCTTGTGAAAATTTAGATTCTTTATCATGAAAATTGTTGTTTGGTTGTCATAGAATATCTGTATGGCTCCTTCTTGCTTTTGTTGTAGTTTTGCTAGCATTCTCCTTTGCTAAATGGCTTGATAAGTTACTAAAGTGGCTGTTATAGACTCAACTTCTAAAGAAGACAGTATTGTTGTGGCTTGCTTTTTGGAGCTCTAAGTGATTACTTCTAATCTAAGAGTAAAAACATTTACTGAAATACTCTATCTATCATCCAATGAACTAAGCAATCACTGTTTATGAACCCGTATAAACTAAAACAAAAAACTTTTGAGTACTAAATGTCATAATCCACAATTCCAACAACATAGCAGAAGACCCACTTTATTGCTCCAAAATGAAACTTCGATGAACTTTTATTGGAGATTCTAGGCATAATCATGATCATGATTTTTTTTAATTTTTCAATCATGATCTTCTTTTTATTTTAGGCATTAGTAAATATTAGAGATTTCAGACATAATCATGATTATGATATTTTTCTTAATTTTAGGCATTAGCAAATATTATTTTATTAATTGTAAATATTCTCTAATGTATTTCTTCTCTACATATATTCACAACTCATGAGAATAAAAGCACAAAAAAACTTTGGCCCCAAATTACTTATATTCTTTCAAAGTATTAGAGCCATTAAACGTACATCATCATGGCTGGTGATGGGAAAAAACGAGATGGAGGAGACGACTCGAGCCAATGTAGTTCTAACACTAGGAGCTGATGATGGGAGAAGTGATGTTACTAATTCTAATAAAACACAAATTAGTGGATTTATCATAAGCACGACAAATCCAAAAATAACCTCGAAAATCCAAGTAGAACCTTGAGGGATGATGCCCACATGCATGGGGAAGAAAACCCGCAAGTTGGAATATTCTTGCAAGGAGCAAGAATTAGCCGGCAAAACACTAACCTATGGGAAGGAAGGAATCCACGAGCAACCACCCACACAGAGAAGCAGCACACACACACACACACACACGTACAGGGAAGTTACGTGCGCACATGTATGCACAACAGCAAGCTCCTACACTTGCGGTCAAAGAGAATTCTTCCATGGAAAACTGAGTCCTACTTCTGAAAGGAATTATGCGACTCCAACTCCTA